CTTGATGAAAAATTAGTGACGAACTAGGAAAAGTTAGGAAAATTTTCAACAGGCACATAGAATATCATTGAAAATGTGTGAATCACAAAAATTTTGAAAAAAAATATGAATCGGTTGCTATGTTTTGTAGATCATCGAACTTAAAAAACATCTGATAACTTCTAATCGTTGAATGTCCCTCAATTTTGAGAAGTCAGTAGCTCTTAGAAGCCATTAGACGATTTCCTGGTGCCTTTCTCTGGTTAACAAACTATTTTCAAAAAATTAAAAGCGATATTCGGCATTAGTGGAAAACAAATAAGACATGTTTGACTCTTTTTTTCACAGATGTCATAATATCCATAAGCTGGGTAACGACAAGTAACACGTCGAGATATCCAACGAGATGGATATCCAGATTTTTAGAGGTACCTCGAAAGTTGATCAATTTGAGTGGATTTAGTGTAACGAGATGGATATCCAAAATTTTTGGAGGTACCCTAAAAGTTGAGCAATTTGAGTGGATTTGGTGTAACGAGATAGATATCCAAAACTTTTAGTGGATACCCCCAAAAGTTGAGCAATTTGAGTGGATTTGGTGTAACGAGATGGATATCCCAATCTTTCAGTGGGTACCGCGAAAAGTTGAGGAATTTGAGTAGATGTGGTGTAACGGGATGAATATCTCAATCTTTCAGTGGGTCCCCTCAAAAGTTGAGGAATTTTAGTGGATTTGGTGTAACGGGATGGATATCCAAAATTTTTAGTGGGTACCCCTAAAAGTTGAGCAATTTGAGTTGATTTGGTGTAACGAGATGAATATCCCAATCTTTTAGTGAGTACGCCCAAAAGTTGAGCAATTTGAGTGGATTTGGTGTAACGGGATGGATATCCAGAATTTTTGGAGGGTACCCCCAAAAGTTGAGCAATTTGAGTGGATTTAGTGTAACGAGATGGATACCCAAATCTCGTTACACCAAATCCACTCAAATCGCTCAACTTTTGGGGGTACCCACTAAGAGATTGAGATATTCATCTCGTTACACCAAATCAACTCAAATTGCTCAACT